ATTTAGACTTGGTTGCCTTGCAGTTAGATGAGTTATCACCTGCTTCTAGCAGGGCTCTTTGAAGTGAGAGAAGAGCAGTTTTGATTGGATAGGCCAGTGATTAGAGGCAGATTCCAACTGTTTGTAGGGCCGTGGCTGGTAAGGCAAAGGCAGCTGGGATACTAAGGGAATTAGCCAGCTGAGGAAGGCAGGGATATAAATTGTGTGTTGTTTTCCTTAATTTGCAGGTACTCTACAATGGGAGGAAAATGGTGTGTTGCCAACATCACTGCCAGCTCTTCCTCTGCCTGCACCTATGGGGCCCTCTGCCAGAGAGGCATCCTGACCCTGGAGGCTTCCATCCGGGCCCTGGTCTCGACTTGCTAGGAATGTGGCCTGCATGTCCCTGCTGATTAAAGCCAGGCAGGGGGAACCACTCGGTGTGAGAGGTGTCTGTTGGTGGAATCCCTCAGGGAGCAGGTAAGAGCTGCAGGAGGAGATGGCTCACCGGCATTTAATCTAGGAGCACAAGGACTTCATTGACAGGACAGGCTGCACATGGAAACATTTGGGATGGAGGATGCTAGCTGAATACAGATGACTACAGTGGCACCAGCGTAGGAAGGAGAATGGCTGCTTGCTGGGGAGAAGACTAGCTGCTGGCCACCTCAGGCAATAGATAGTGCTCCACTCTCTGCCCAGATCCCCCCATGCATTGAGATGAAGAACTATTATGCTGTACTGGCAACAGCAGATGAGGAACAGATCCCAGTGGCTGAGGAGGAGGAGTCATTCGCCCCAAAAGCTGGGAGTCTCATGGCCATTGCACCCAACAGGAGGAGGTGTAGGATGCTGGTGGTCAGGGACTCCCTTCTGAGGGGGATGGAGACATCCATCTGCTGACCTGACATAATGTCCTGGGAGGTGTGCTGCCTGCCTGGAGCCTGCATCTGAAATGTTACACAAAGTTTACCAAGGTTCATCCATCCCTCTGACCACTCCCCCATGCTGCTCATCCAGGTATGACCCTGAGCAGATCAGCAGTGACTCCAGGGTCAGGAGTGTAGGTTCTGATCTTAGCCATCCTCCCAGTTTAGGATGTGCATGGCCCTGCCTGGTCCTTTACCCTCGAGATGAACGCATGGCTGCACAGATGATGTCAATGTGTGGGCTTTGGCTTCCTTGACCACAGGCTGCTGTTCCAGGAAGAAGGTCTGCTGGGAGAGATGGGGTCCACCTGACTACAGAGGAAAAGAGCATCTTTGTGCACCGGCTTGCCAACCTAGTGAGCAGGGCTTTAAACTAGGTTCAAAGGGGGCAGGTGAGTATAAAAAGAAGTGACCTTAACAGAGAGCTAGATATTGAGGGGGATGTGGAAAATTACAATGGGGTCATAGGAGGAAAAAGAGGGAAATCAGTGGGGGAATCTGTTTAACATCTTAGATGTTTATACACAAATGCAAGGAATATGGGGAATAAACAGGAAGAACTGGAAGTATTAGCCCATCAGTCTTCTTGATGTCATTAGTTATTAGCTCTCTTTCCCTGCTAAGTAGCGGAACTACACTTTCCATTGTCTTTCTGGTGCTCCTAATGTATTTAAAGAACCTCTTCTTATTACTTTTTATGTCCCTTGCTAGGTGTAACTCATTTAGTGCATTAGCCTGTTTGGTTTTGCCCCTACATTCTTGTGTTGTTCTGTACTCCTCATTAGCATTTTGTCCATGTTTCTACTTTTTATAGGATTCCTTTTTGATTTCCAGGTAATTAAAAAGCTCCTGATGGAGCCATATTGGCCTCTTACTATCCTCCCTATTTATCCTTCACTTCGGAATAGTTTGCAGTTGTGCCTTTAATATTGTCTCCCTGAGAAACTGCCAGCTGTCCTGCACACCTTTTCCCCCCGAGATTGTCTTCTATATTGCTTCAGTCTTCATTAAAAAGGTTAACGATGACCAGATGCTTAACACAATTGATACTAACAATTAGGGGGAAAGAATGCAAGGCAAAATAGAGAAAGAAGAGGTTAAAGAATATTTAGATAAATGTGATGTATTCAAGAAAGCAGGGCCTGATTAACTTCAAACTATGATGCTCTGAAGCAATCTCAGAACCATTAGTGATTATATTCGAGAACTCACAGGACGGGTGAGGTCCCAGAGGACTGCAGAAGGGCAAATATAGTACTTATCATTAAAAAGAGGAATAAAGAGGACCATTGGAATTATAGACCAGTCAGACTAACTTTGATACATAGAAAGATACTGGAACAAATTATTAAACAATCAATTTGTAAATACCTACAGGACATAGCATTATAGGAAATAGCCAGAAAAGATTTGTCAAGAACAAATCATGCCAAACCAACTCAATTTCCTTCTTTGTCAGGATTACTGGCCTAGTGGATAGGGAGAAGAAGTAGATGTGATATAGCTCAATTAGAATAAGGCTTCTGACACAATCCATCATGACATTCTTATAACTAGGGAAATATGGACTAGATGAATTTACTATAAGGTTAGTGCACAACTGCTGAAAGACACTACTCAAAGAGTACTTATCAGTTGTTTGCTGTCAAACTGGGAGGGCTCATCTAGTGGAGTCCCACAGGCATCAGTCCTGGGTCTGGTACTATTCAAAATGATTAATGACTTGGATAGTAGTGGAGAAGAGAATATGGTTATAAAATTTGCAGATGACACCAAGCTGGGAGGGGTTGCATGCATTGTGTTGGACATGATTAGAATTTAAAATGATCTTGACAAATTGGAGAATTGGTCTGCATTCAACAAGATGAAATTCAGTGAACATAAGTGTGATGTTTCACTCCATATTTTTATGAAAATATGCTTATGATATGAATGACATAACTGAGATATACTTTATGCAAGATGGCTCATGTAAGATATCATTGGAAAGGCTATGATTTACTGAATGTGATTATCCAATTCGTATGCCTGTATCATTTCTGTATCTGAAGTTAGGAATATTAATTATGTATCTGTATTTCAAATGTGTTACTTTGAGTGTCACCCCCAATCAGCCTTTCAAGTACAACAATGGAAAAGCCAGACAGGGCTAATGGGCCATTAGCAGAGACAGTGGACTGTGAAAGGGCTTAGTCTTCCTGTGGATGCTCCACACAGCCTACAAATAATGGCTGTCACAGCCCTGCAGAGACATGGGTCTGAGTCACCTGGGACTGGACCCACCCCTTGGAATGCCAGCGTTCTTCCACTGGGAGACAAAGGGTTCCCGCCATACACAAGAGCTATATAAGGCAGGGCAGTGACATCGTCGAGGTTCTCCTCTGCCTTCCCACCCAAAAAGACACTGAAAAACACCTGGAAGAAAGAACTGGACTGAGGGGAGAAGGGTTGAAGCCAGGCTGGGAGGGCGTCCAGTCTGTGAGTGCAAATACCTGAAATCTCCAGCTGCAGGCCAGTGCAGTTGCCTTTCAAGACTTTCTGTAATCTACCTGTGACAATATCTAGGGTGAGAAATTACATTTTGGGGGATAGCTCAGTGGTTTGAGGGATAGCTCAGTGGTTTGAGCATTGGCCTGCTAAACCCAGGGTTATTCAATCCTTGAGGGGGCCATTTAGGGAACTAGGGTAAAAATCTGTCTGGGGATTGGTCCTGCTTTGAGCAGGGGGTTGGACTAGATGATCTCCTGAGGTCCCTTCCAACCCTGATATTCTATGATTATTTTATTTTATTTGCTCCATCTGCTTTGTTCTGTCAGTTATCTCTTATATTCACTTAAATTCACTTTTTGTAGTTAATAAACTGATTTCTTGTTTATAATATAACCCAGTTTGTGCAATGCACAATGAGGGGGGGGGGGGAGATAAGAGGTTGTGCATACCTTCCTACACACTGAGGGAGGAGGCAGATTTCATAATACATCTTTGGGTCTCCACCCCTAGGGAGGTGGACACCTGAGTGCTGTGGGCAAATCCCTTAAACTGAGCCTTCCCAGAACTGATCTCAGTGTCTGTTTCGTTCTGCAGTTTGGCATGGCCCTGCTTGTGTGTGTGTGTGTGTGCTGGAGGAGGCTTAATAGAATTGCTTGGCTCAGCAAGACAGGTAAAAAGGGTACCCAGGCTGGCATAACAGACAGGCTCAGTGGTATCTCAGCACATCAGGTGGCATCCTAAGGGGGAGGCAAACCGTCACAATAAATACTTCACTTAGGAAGGAAAAATGAAATGCACAACTACAAAATGGGGAATCATGGGGTAGGCGTTAGTACTGCTGAAAAGAATCTGGGGGTCATAGAGGAGCACAAATTGAATGAGTTGCAAAAAAGGCTAATATCATTGTGGGACGTATTAACGGAGGTGTGTCCTGTGTAAGACAGAGAAGGTAATGATCCTGCTCTACATGGCTCGACTAAGGCCTCAGCTGGAAGACTGGGTCCACTTCCGCGCACCCCACTTTAGGAAAGATGTGGACAAACAGGAAAGAGTCCAGAGGAGAGCAACAAAAATAGTACAAGGTTGAGAACTTGACCTCTGAGGAAAGGTTAACAAAAACCGGGCCGGTTTCATCTTGGGAAAAGAAGAGTGAGGCAGAACCCGCTAACAGTCTTCACCGTCCTCTTTACAAGAGCCTTTGAGGTATTTGATCAATTGTCCCCCCAAAGCCAGTGAAGATAAGACAAAAATTACTGCGCTTAATCTGCAGCAAGGGAGCCCTAGAGAAAAGTGTGGCGGGGGGCTCGCCTGGCAAGGGAATGTGTGGACGCAGGGCCAGGGAAGGTTTGTAAGAACAGGTCGGGGACACGCCTGTGGGAGATGATTCTAGGTTGACTTGGTCCTGCCTCAGCGCGAGGGCTGGACTTGGTGACGGCCCGAAGTCCCGCGGCCCCAGGCCAACCCCGCGCGCTCTGCCCCCTGGCCGAGCATCGCGCAGCCCCCGCCCCTGCGCTGCCTCCCCTCAGGCGGGCGGGCGCAATCGGCCGCCCCCTTGGGCTCCGCGCCCGGCGCCGCCCCCTGCCCGTCTGACGTGCCCTGCAGCCATGTCGGCCGCCGCGCGCAGACGCCAGGCAGCCGGGGCGCCGCGAGAAGCCCCCGCTGGCGGAGATGAGGAGCCGGGCATGGCGGCCCCGAGCCTCAGCGTCTGCCTCAAGCTGCTGGCGGCGGCGCTCTACGGGTTCAGCTCCTTCCTCATCGTGGTGGTGAACAAGAGCGTCCTCACCAGCTACGGGTGAGCCGGGCCGCCCGCGCGGCGCTGTGCGCCGGGCAAAGGTCGGCGCCGCGGGGTGGGGGAGCGGGGGCTGGTTGCACATTAACTCGTGCGGCGGGGCCCGGCGCAGAGCTTCCCCCCGCCGCCGCCGGGCCCAGGGAGGGGGCTCCTCCGCGCGGGGGAGCTGCTCGGTCACAGCACCGAGCGGGGCGGGGGGCATCAGCTGGAGCCCCATGAGTAGCCCAGTCGGGCGGGCACTGGCTGGGGCGTCCCCCTCTGCCTTCCC